AGTTAGTCTTGGGGGGTTGCAAGACAATGATCAATAGCTTCCTTGGGAAACCAGTTTAGCCTCTTATTAATGACTGAGGGAAGTCAGAGTATTTTGCTGAGAAAGCATAGAGCCAAGCAGTGTCAAGATGGCTGCACTTGAGCCAAGGTTGCTTCGCTTGTGGCGTTGTATCCTTTCAGAGACAAATAGACTCAAGACAGAAGACTGAATGGTGGCTACAGCAGTGACAAAAGTTGAATGTGTAATTTGATAATTTCTCAAAAGGAAAATTTCAGGTCCAGATGGCTGCACTGGCAAATTCTGTCAAAATTTAAAGGAAGAAATAATACCAACCCTACACAAATTCTTGAAAATACTTCCAATGCATTTCTGAGGACATCATTGATACCAAAAAGAAACAAAGACATTGGGAGAAAATCCAGACCAATATCTCTCAATACAAATGCAAAAAAACTCTCAAAAAAAATATTAGCAAATCCAATCTAGAAAATAGAACAAGGATAAACCATAAAAAATAGGTTTTCTCAGGAACTCAAGGTTATTTTAACATTTGAAAGTCAATGCACTTCACTGTATTAACAAGTAGAATAACCACAGAAGCATCTCGGTGGCCACAGAAATCATCTGACAAAATTCAACATCCATTCATGACAAAAAATCAAAAACCTCCCAGCAAACTGTTACCGAATCGAACTTGGGTCCAACTACCTGGCACAGCAAAGCCAATCACTGGCATCAGGATGGCCACGAGAGAAAGGGAGGTATGTAGGGGGCCAAGTCAGGAGAAGGCAGCAGCTGGCGCTCAAGACCCTCCTGGACTCCCTGACGTTTCACAGGTAAGGGTTTTTAAAGGCAGGAGACAGACAAAATTCTGTGTAACAATTTGGAGTCAGCAGAGAAGGCTGGCTTTGGTTTGTGGGTTGACTTCCTCCAGGCCCTTGGGAAGAGATTTAGTACAAAGATGGACAGTGCAAGTTCAGTCTTCAGTTCCTCTCTTCTGGGGTCTACCTGCTGGCAGATCCCCATTTTTCATCTGGTAGGGGGCCGCAACCCGAGGACATTGGTTATGACGTTACCCTTGCTTTCTGCAGGAGCCAGACGTCCTGTGACACTGAAGCCTGAGCTGCTATCTTAGGCTGTCGCCACCGTCTTGCTCATCTGGCTGCTCATTTACTTTCCCTTTGAAGGAACTCAAGATTTTCCTCTGTTTCCTCACTTGGTGGGACTGGAAGAGGTGAGGGGTGTTGGTGGTGGGGTGCCCGGCAGGCCCCTAAGAGGGGTCCCTGCTCTGTCTCAAAACTAGAAATAAAAGGGAGCTTCCTTGGCTTGATGAAAGGCATATAAGAAAAAACCCTGGTCTAACTAACTAACCTTGGACCAGAAAGGCTATGACGTCCACTGGCACCTCTTTCATTCAACCTTGTACTTGAAGTCATGGGCTATGCAGCAAGGCAAGAAACAGAAACAAAATAACACAGATTAGAAAGGGTAAGCTGAGGTGAGGTGGGCCAGTGCCAGTACCATGGGAATAATGTAACATTGCAACCAAGTAAGAAAGAGGAGGAAGTAAAGTTTATTATTCACCTTTCAGATTGGAAAGGGGGCGGACACTCAGAGGCAAGGGTGGTCTCAAAGGACCAAGAACTGGGTATATTTAAGGGCCTTTGAGGTAAGGAGGGTTTGGGCCCAGAGGGATCTGGGCCAAAAGGAAGGTCCAGGGTTGCAGGTCTGGGCATAGTGGCTCACACCTGTAACCCCAGCACTTTGGGAGGCTGAGGTGAGGCTTGCTTGAGCCCAGCAGTTTGAAACCAGCCTAGACAAGAGAGTGAGACCTTGTCTCTATAAAAAAATCAGAACTCGCTGGGCATGGTAGTGCATGCCTGTGGTCCTAGCTACTTGGGAGGCTGAGGCAGGAGGATTGATTAAGCCCAGGAATTTGAGCTTGCTGTGAGCTATGACTGTGCCACTGCACTCCAGCCTGGCTGACAAAGTGAGACTCCAATTCAAAAAAAAAAAAAATAGCTGTATTTAATCTACATTTCCTCCCAGTCAGGCTAAAACTGGGAGGTTACAGCATGGCAGGTTCTGTACTTGGGCAAGTACTTTGTTTCTTTTTTTTTTTTTTAAATCAATATTTTTTATTATAATATTGTGGGGCGCAGTTAAGGGTTAGGTATACAAATATGCTTCGTTCAGGCACCCTTGTTGATAAGAGGTGTCTCCCCGTCTCCAGACATTTATTACCATTAGTCCCATCTCCCTTCCCCTCTCCCCCATTGTTTCCCACCACTGTCAGTCATTTTCTTATAGTAGTACATTGGGTGATCAAGGTCCACTATATGAATGAGAACATGTGATACTCAGATCTTTGTTTTTGTGAGAGGTCACTCAGTATTATAGACTCTAGTTCCATCCGGGTTGCTGCGAAATTCATGATTTTGTTCTTTTTTATGGCTGTGTAGTATTCCATCGTGTATATGTACCACATTTTTAAAATCCAGTCCTCTTTTGATGGACAGCATGGTTGGTTTCAGGTTCTTGCTATTGTGAACAATACTGCGATAAACATTCGTGTGCAGATATCTTTTTGATAGAGTGATTTGAGTTCTTCAGGGTATATTCCCAGTAGGGGGATTGCAGGGTCATATGGGAGGTTGATATTTAGAGCTTTTAGGAATCGCCACACTGCTTTCCACAGAGGTTGCACTAGTTTACACTCCCACCAACAGTGTAGAAGTGTTCCCTTTTCGCCACACCCTCCCCAGCAACTGTTATTTTTTGAGTTGTTGATAATTGCCATTCTGACTGGAGTTAGGTGGTATCTCAGTGTGGTTTTGATTTGCATCTCCCTGATGATTAGTGAGGTTGAACATTTCTTCATGTGTCTGTTGGCTGCTCGGATGTCTTCCTTTGAGAAGTGTCTGTTCATATCTTTTGCCCACTTTATAATGGGGTTGTTTGTTTTTTTCTTTTCAGCACGTTTGCGTTCCTTGTAGATCCAGGATGTTAAGCCTTTGTCAGACCTGGAGTTGGCATACTTTGTTTCTTTAATCTCTCATTCCCCTTCTGTAGAGATCCCAGAGTTGAACACAACAGTCATCCTATCATTGCCACGTAAAGTTCCCTGATCTCCGCCTCTAGTTAACAGCCTCCTTCTCCCTACCCTGTACCCCCACCTTCTTTTCCCCCCACCAACTTCAGGTATCTTAAGGCGCCATAGATATCCTCAGGAACTTGACATCCAATCACTGCCGGATCCTGCACAGTAAGGGACCCACATCCGGTGGGCCTGCCTGGGAAATGCCTCCAGGGTCTGTTGATTAATTCCTTCAGCTCATTTGATCGCAGCACGGCCTGGACAACGCCCGCCGTCACGACTTTCACGACCTTGGTGTCTCAGCGGGGCCCACTTGGTGCTGTTGGAGCCTGGGCCCATGACGGGAGCCCGCGGGCCCCTCACCAACACTCACCTGCCAGTCGTGTCTTCTGAGCAAATGCCCAGCAGTGCGTCTCTGCCACGCTCAGGGCAATCCCCTTTCTCCTTCTGCATCAGGAATGCTGCACACTCCGCTTCCTCACAGATGAGCCTTTTGCCTGATGCTTTGTATCCCTGCCCCACCCATCCCAGCAGTTTGTAATGTTGAAACTGTTTCTTCAAAGATCTTGTGAGTGCCAGGGCCTCTTTCCCCTGCGGATCCCAAAGCAACTCCTGGAGAGTGGTGAGAGTGGCGGGGGGG